TGACCGTATCTCAGCAAGTTATGGTTTCTCTATCTATTGGGAAGTATGAAGATGAGATTCTATGTGATGTTATTCCCATGGGTTCGAGTCATGTGTTGCTAGGCAGACCGTGGCAATCAGATCGTAGGGTGATACACGACGGTTATACCAACAAGCACTCATTCGAATTCAAAGGTCACAAAATTACCCTCCTACCTCTCACGCCTACCGAGATTTACCAGGATCAGATCCAGATGAAGCTCAAGGAGAAGGAGAAAGTCGCCAACAGCCTCTACATAAACCACAGTGAATTTTCTAAACTCTTTGATCCTGAAATGACTACTTTTATGTTTGTGTACAAGGAATCCCTTGTTAGTACTAACCCTTCACAGGAGCTTCCTAGTGCTATGTTTGAGATTTTGCAGGAATACAAGGACGTTTTTCCAGTAGAAATTCCACCAGGGCTACCTCCAATTCGCGGGATAGAGCATCAGATTGACTTGGTACCAGGATCAGCCTTACCTAACAGGCCAGCATACCGAACCAATCCTGTAGAGACTAAGGAGCTGCAGAAGCAAGTGGAAGAGCTGATGAGCAAGGGACATATCCGAGAAAGCTTGAGTCCATGTGCGGTTCCAGTTCTGTTGGTGCCAAAGAAAGATGGTTCCTGGAGGATGTGTGTAGACTGCCGAGCTATCAACAACATCACGGTGAAGTATAGGCATCCGATTCCAAGACTAGACGATATGCTGGATGAGCTCTGTGGATCGACAATCTTCTCTAAGATCGACTTGAAGAGTGGATATCATCAGATCAGAATGAAGGAAGGGGATGAGTGGAAGACGGCATTCAAGACAAAGCAAGGACTCTACGAGTGGCTGGTTATGCCGTTTGGCCTCACCAATGCTCCCAGCACCTTCATGAGACTAATGAACCATGCCCTGAGACCATTCATTGGCGTGTTCGTAGTGGTGTATTTCGACGATATCCTCATCTACAGTAAAGGTTTGGAAGAACATCTAGATCACATCAGATCGGTTCTTGATGTTCTTCGCTCTCAATCTCTCTTTGCTAATTTATCTAAATGTTCATTCTGCACTAACGAAATTGTTTTCTTAGGCTTTGTAGTAAGTGCAGGAGGAGTTAAAGTAGATGAAGAGAAGATAAAAGCTATCAAGGAGTGGCCAACCCCCAAGAATATTGGAGAAGTCCGAAGTTTCCATGGCTTAGCAGGATTCTACAGGCGTTTTGTTCGTGATTTCAGCACCATAGCCGCGCCCTTAACAGAAGTAATCAAGAAAGACGTGGGGTTCAAGTGGGGAGAGGCGCAAGAACAGGCTTTTACAGCCCTTAAAGAGAAGCTTATCAATTCGCCCTTACTAGTACTTCCTGATTTTACTAAGACTTTTGAGATTGAATGCGATGCTTCTGGTGTAGGTATTGGCGCAGTTCTTATGCAGGATAAGAAGCCCGTTGCTTACTTCAGCGAAAAGTTAGGAGGATCAACGCTGAATTATCCCACGTATGACAAGGAGTTATACGCATTGGTTCGAGCTCTCCAGACGTGGCAGCATTACCTATGGCCTAAGGAATTCGTCATTCATACCGATCACGAGTCTCTAAAGCACCTCAAGGGTCAGCAGAAACTTAACAAAAGACATGGGCGATGGATGGAGTTCATTGAGACATTCCCCTCAATTGTTAAGTACAAAAAAGGTAAAGATAATGTGGTCGCAGACGCATTATCCCGGAGGTACACTCTTATTTCGACTTTAACATCAAAGTTGATTGGATTTGAATACATTAGAGATCTTTATGAATCTGATACTGATTTTTCTGAGAGCTATGCCAAATGTCATAAGTTTGCCTGTGAGAAATTTTATAGACAGGATGGATACTTGTTCTTCAGTAACCGATTGTGCATACCACGAGGATCTATTCGAGAGTTACTGGTACGAGAAGCTCATGGAGGTGGATTAGCTGGACATTTCGGTGTCACAAAGACACTTCTTGGGCTACAAGAGCACTTCTACTGGCCGAACATGAAGAAGGACGTTGAGAAAATCTGCTCTAGATGTGTCGTATGTAAGATGGCTAAGAGTAAAGTTCAACCTCACGGTTTGTATACTCCTTTGCCTATTCCTTCTCAACCTTGGACTAATATTTCTATGGATTTTGTAGTTGGCTTACCTCGCACCAGAAATGGTAGAGATTCTATTTTTGTAGTTGTTGACAGGTTTAGCAAGATGGCTCACTTCATCGCTAGCCACAAGACATATGATGCTGTGAATGTAGCTAACTTGTTTTTCAGGGAAGTAGTACGACTGCATGGAATGCCACAGGTTATCGTTTCAGATCGAGACACGAAGTTCTTAGGACACTTTTGGCGAACGCTTTGGGCTAAGCTGGGAACAAAGCTCTCATTCTCAACTACATGTCATCCTCAGACCGATGGACAGACCGAGGTGGTGAATAGAATGTTGTCTACACATCTAAGGACTTTGGTGAAAAGTAACCTCAAGACATGGGAAGAGTGCCTGCCTCATGTCGAGTTTGCTTACAATCACGCTAAGCATTCTGCTACTCTCTTTTCTCCTTTTGAAATTGTATATGGGTTTAATCCACAATCACCTCTAGACTTGATCCCTTTGCCTTTAAGTGGAAAATGCAGCTTGAATGGCAAGGAGAAAGCTGAACAGGTCCGAAGAATACATGCTAAGGCTAAGGAGAACATCGAGAAGAAAACAAAGCAGTATGAGAAGCATGCCAACAAAGGACGAAAGGAGCTGATTTTCGAAGAAGGAGATCTGGTGTGGATCCATCTGAGGAAGGAGCGATTTCCAGCTGAGCGAAAGAACAAACTAATGCCCAGAGTTGATGGACCATTCGCAGTCATCAAAAGAATCAACAACAACGCCTATCAGATTGATCTTCAAGGTAAGTATGATGTTTCTGATACGTTCAATGTTTCTGACTTGCTTCCTTTTGTTGCAGATTCAGATTTGAGGGCAAATCCTTTTCAAGAGGGAGAGGATGATATGATCGTGACGAGCTCAGAGGAGGAGGAACCAGAGGTAGCTGGCAGGATCACTCGTTCCAGAGCTAGAGAGATGGCTAAGGAGGCTCACGCACTCATTGCCACAGAGGACATCGATCACCAGGAGGCTGGAGCTCACATCTTCAACATCTCTATCTTGAAGAATGAAGAACCCAATAACAATGACTAGGTAACTTAGGTGATGATTATGTACTCTTTTCCTTGGTGAGGATTTTGGAAGGCAAGGAGGTTCTTCTCCAAGGTTTTTAACGAGGCAGAAATCATTGCTACGTCGAGTTACTTAGAAGTTGTTACTAATGGGTAATAATGTGCAAAGTCACAATGACTTGTGCACTAGTTGTTTTAGGCACACCACTTAGGATTTAGAAGGGACGCCTCGCTGTTTTATTTTTAAATCAAACTTCGTGTTGTTTTTATTTCAGACTTCGTGTAGTTTGTTATTAGGGCTGCGATTTTCTCTCTTACTCTATAAAGTAGAGAAAATCGCCTATGTCATATGGAGTGAAGAATTTTGATCAAACTTTTAACGTGTTCTTCTCTCTTTGATTTCTGAGAACTAAAAAAAAAACTCTGAAATCCGAATCTCTTAAAAACTAATCTGTTTACAAGAGATTCTTCTATCCCACCATTCCATCGGTTCTATCTCTTCCACCATACCATCGATTTGAGAAACCAAACCATCATCTCCCTTCATCGATCCGCCGCACCATCACACATCCACGACTCGATCCGCAGAGTCTCCATCATCCTCATCAAGCCATCATCGTGTCACCACCACCACCATATCGCCTCATCGATACAGCCTGTTCATTACATCGCTGCCTCTATTGCCTTGTTCTTCAGAGTTGATCACCTAGGATCGTATCACTTTTCATGTAGAATTTGAAATAACTAATAATTATAATTTATATTATTTTTTTTTTCACATATGCAAAACATATTTCCACATAATCTCATGTAATATATTATGCAAAAATGATCAAAAAATTATATTTTCTGTATTCGATTTGGAATTACAATAGATTAATGTATAAGTTTTTAGTTTTTAGTTGTTAAATTTTTTTTTCATTTTTCTAAATTTATATGTATTAAATTGTATCGACTGCCTACTTAATTATAATTAAAAGAAGTAAGAATGAATATGATGAAACTGAATATAATCATACAAAAATTATTAAAATAAATAAATATGATCTATTAGTTGAAAAAACAGATATAACAAGAATAAAAATGAATATGATGAAAAAAATTATTCTTATTAGAATAGATGATGTATAATCATTGAAAAATTATTTAAACGTTTATCCAACCAATTGACAAAAATATATTTAATTCACAAATTTTGTGTGATTTTCTTTATTTTATATTTAACTATTATTTTGGTTTCAAATATAAAGTTGTTATTAATCTCAGTGGAAATTGCTAAAAATAACCAGAATTTGAGTCCAAATGCAAAAGTATACCCCAAATTCAACCTAATGCAAAAATAGGTCAGAAGGGTAGAGAAATTACTATTCTCTCCTACATGAGCAAACAAAAAAACAGAGAGCTCAATTACAATTTTAACCCCAAGAAGTCTGCAAATAATAGTAAAATCTGCTTAGCAGACTTATAAAGAAGTCTGCTATATTATTAAATCTTAAATTTTATTTTAAAAATTATACAAAAATAATTTGATTTAAAATTTGTTTCTATAAATCAAATATAAACAATTATAATGTATATAAATTAAAATTTAATATAACTGAATCAAATTAGACCAACAAAAATAAAATCATAACTGAATAATTTTAATTTAGGGTTACAGACTACTTTATGAAGTCTGCTCAAACCATAATCGAAATTAAAATAAAATGTACATAGACCAGAATTTAATTAACATAACCGGATATAACCGAATATTTTCAACCTATTATATAAATGAAAATTTTACCCTAATCCAGAAAACCTCCACTTTGATCTCTCTCTAAAACGGCGCTGCATTCTCTCTGTCGCCGTTATCCTCTTTCGAAAACATCATCGCAATAATGTCAACACCGATTCATCGTCGTCATCTTCAACTCGGTCTTGATCTTCTTCTTCTTTCTACCAATACCTATTTTTGGGTTTTATGTCGCATAATCTCTCATTTTGCTTGTTTGATTTTGTTTTCTGAAAGGAAAGTTAGCGACTTTGATCGACTTCGATGAAGCTTTGACAAACCCAGGGTTGTCTGATCATTGTGGCCTGTTTCCGAGAGATTTTTGTACTTGAGAGGTTAAAGAAGACGAAACAGCAAGAAGATAAATGGGTTGTGCTGGATCGACACAGTCGCAAGGAGAAGGTGTGAGACTTCTCTATTATCACTCGAATCTCTCTTAGTTTATCGCTTTAAATTTACTTGTTTTGTTTGCTGGATTTTGGGCGTAAAGATAACATTTTTTTGTTAGATTTGGATCTTCTATTTTTAGATGCTGTATGTATGTGTGTTTTCATGTCTATGTGCATGTATTATCCCTCATTATGATTGGCTTATTCTTATGATGTTAACTAAGTCGTAAAGGTAAGTTCTTTAGCCTTTTGAGATTGGCAGTTAGTAGTTTTTGCACAGTAAACTAGCTGAGATCACTTGGTTTTGCGGTGGACATTGCAGGGTGTAGCCAACTTCTTTGGTATAGATGTGTTCTTTGTTGTTCGATAATTACCTGATTTGATGCCTTCTGCAAATTTGTTAAAAGATGGGTTTTAATTTGATCATAATGAGTGTAGGTATATAATTTGACTCGTTGGATGAATGCATATACATATGGTCGATGATAGACATAGATATCTATAAAATGGAGATTTTATTTGTTTTATTGTTTTATGCATCAGGTATAAACAATTCTGTTGCTGGTTACAGGTATAAAAATTAATATCGATTTTTGAGTGGTGCTTTCGTTTTATATTATTGATTACAAATGAAATTAAGGGTGCTTTTGTTTGAGTGGTGCTTTCGTTTTATATATTTGAGTGGTGCTTAAACATTTGTCTACTAGGAAAGAAGAGCTCTTGAAGAGAATCTCCAGAAAAACAGCAACTCTAAATCATCACCAAGAACAGCTGAGAAAAAGAGCAATGATGGACTCAATAGATGATTCCTCCTAAACGAGAGATGAGAGTTTCAAGGAGTGAATCTTGTTAGTTAATGTTAGACTTGTAGCAGATTTTAGAATTGTAACATTTTCTTATTCTTTTTTTTTTGTTAAATTGATGATTATTTAAAAAATGTTAGCTTGTCAACAAGGCTGAAGAAGTATAATGTACAAAAACAACCTGGTTTTACATTATAATTCAATGTCCCAAAATATTCCAAGTGATTGAATTTTGTACCACTTTTAAAACCACAAATTATGCCAACTTCTTAACTAGAAGAAGAGTTCAGATACATTAAATTCTCTAAGTTAACAAATAGCAACATGTTGGTGTTACTAGCACCAGAATCTACAAATACATAACCCCACAAATTATTACAATCTATGAAATAGATAGATGAAATCTGCATAGAAGTATGCAAACTAAAAAGTTGATTTTTCAAATTCATACAAATGCAAGACTTCAAGAAGTCTACCACATATTACGAAGTAGACTTCTTTATAAGTCTGCAAAAATCTGCTAAAAGCCTAATTAAACAAAAAAATCATTACTTTGTAATTATAACACATCACCACGTCAAACTCATACAGATGCAATATACAAAACAAATAAACATAACAAACACAAGAACATTATTTTTACCAATAACATATATTCTAAAAATAAATTTTAAAAAAATGAATTAGGCAGACTTCATATGCAGTCTGCTATGATATGCTAATATGTAACTTCAGACTTCGTCTGCAGACTTCATATGAAGTCTGCTTAGATGTGTTAATTACCAATTAAATCAAGAAAATTCATAACTTTATAATTGTAACATATAACCACGTCAAACTCATATATATGCAACACAAAAAAAGAAATAAACATGTCAAAACAAGAAAATCATTTTTACAAGTAACAAATATTTCAAAATGAATTTTTAAGAAAAATAATTAGGCGCAGTCTGCTATGATGTGCTAATACGTAACAGCAGACTTCATCTACAGACTTCTAAAAAAGTCTGCTTATATATGCTAATTACCTTTCAAATAAAAAAAATTCATAACTTTATACTTATAACACATAAACACACCAAACTCATACAAGTGCAAAAATCATACCTAAAATGCATTTACAATTTAAAATTTTAAAAAAAAATTACAAATATTTTATAAAATGCATTTTAAAAATTTAAAAAATACAGACATCCGTTCGAAATCTGCTGGGAAAATTTCACGTTGAAGTCATCTAAAAAAAAAAGGTTATTTTTGCATTTGACCAAATATTTGACTTTTGGTAGTAGACTTCTTTTTGCAGTCTGCGAGAAGAAAATATTATTTTTGCAATTGACCAAAAGTTTGACTTTTAGAGCAGACTTCTTAAGAAGTCTGCTCACGAGTAAAATAAGTCTGCTATAGTAAAGAAGTCTGCTTGTGAAGTCTACTGTACAAAAGAAGTCTACTCAAGGTTATTTTTTTAATTGACCAAAAGGTTGACTTTCAAAACAGACTTCTTTAGAAGTCTACTATGCGCAGACTTCTTTAGCAGTTTGCTTGTAGGTCAGATTTGCATTTGACCGAATCTTAATTAAATAAATAGCAGACTTCTTTAGAAGTCTGCTATTTATTTTTTTTTTGTAGCAGACTTCAATTGAAGTCTGCTATAAAAGTCAAAAGTGGTCAAAATCTTGGTTAATTGCAAAAATAACCTCTCGAGTCAAACTATGAAATAGCAGACTTAGAAGTCTGCTATAAAAGTCAAAGTTCGACAATTTTTCTGGTCAAATGCAAAAATAACCTTTTCTTCTCGCAGACTGCAAAAGAAGTCTACATGATTTTTTTTGTTTACAAAGGACAATTCGCAAACTTCTTTTCAAGTCTGATTACACAAATATAAAAAAAGTCAATTGCAAATCTAACCTCTGCGTTGACTATCAGACTGAAAAAGAAGTCTGATTTCGCGAAACAGAGCTAAATGTTAAAGAAAATGAAGTAGATGTTTACCTACTTCCAATTTAAACTTGATTAACTTTGACAAACACCCATAATTTTGTATAGCACCGATAGCAAACTAGCTAAGTCGTTGTTATGCAAGAATCTCCAAAATAGATGATTTATGAAATTGAAATTTATGAAAATAAGCATGAAAGAGTTTTTTTAGATGAAATTGGAGAGAAATTTGTAGGTAAAATGAAGTTATAAGTGACACACTAAGCATTTAAAGCTTCAAAATTGGTTGGGCAAACATTTAGAGCTTCAAAATTGGTTGGTAATGGTGGTTGGCAAAATTGAAGAAGATGGCATTTTCGTAAATAAATGATATATTTTAGGATGGTTGTGTCTTTTTAGTATTTTTAAGAAAAAACAAAAATTAAAAACAAAATGGCATTTTCGTGATATATGTGGTTGTAAGGAGACAGTAGGGAGAAAGTGGCATTTATTAAAGAGGGAGAAAAAAGGTTACTTTTGCATTTGACTTCAAATTGTGGGTCATTTGTGAAAGTATCCCTTAATCTCAAAGCAAATATTTTATTTATTAGCTTGTTTTTAAAATTACTATAACAAAATAACAATTTGTATCGGTTAAACAAGAGAAAAAAAAAGATTAAATTTTAAATTTTATTATTATTTTAAAAAATACATATATAATTGGAAGAAAAGTGAAAATGATGAACAAAATTATCTTCATGATTTAAAGAAGTAAATGTATAATATTTTATCATCATGTCAATATTATGTTTAATACATACTATTTGATTAATTTATAAAAAATTTAGTTGACTTGGGTATATTAACTTATAAATGTTTAACCAAATAATACGTTTTTGAAATATGACATACTGTATATAGATTTAAAACAAAACCGTTAAAACCTCAAAATTTACATAAAAGTTATTATATTAATATCATCATATTTTTAATATATTATTAAATCACTAATCTATAAAATTTATATTTTAATAAATATAATTGATTGCATATAATTTTTATTAACAAAATATCCATGCGCAGTATGGACGCAAAATCTAGTCTATTATATAATAGGAGAGTTTTCTCTCCATCTAAAGTGTCCACATCAGCAAACTCTCAAATTTTAACATTTAAATATTTAAAATAAACATTTAATACATGTATATTTATATTTATTATTAGTATATTTAATACAAATAAAATAAAATAAAATAAATTTAGTATAAATAAAAATAAATAGTAATTAGATATTAATACTTAAATACTGTAATACTAACTAGATTAAAAATATACTCCTATATATTATTAAAAATGATATATTATTTATACTGAAAAAGAGAGAAAATGACGATAATTAAAAAAATAAAAAGACGATAAAACAAATAAAAAAAAAGAGGAAAAAATATCAAAATATATAAAAAAAAACTCACATAAATGCGAAACAATATCAGAAAAAGATAAAAAAAATTAAAAGAAAAAAACAAGAGAAAATAGAAGTCAAAGACCAGAGAAAAATGAAAAAAAAAAGAGAATGAAGAACACGAAGTTAATGAAAATGAATTTTAGAAAATACGAAGACAAAGACGTTAAATATAAGGAAAGAGAACAAAAGATAAAACTAACAAATTATGAGAATATGAAGATGGAGAAGGAGTATAAAAATCCAAAAAAAAAAGACAAATATGATGAATTAGTTGTTCAACAATTTCTAATAATAGCTGATTAAAAATAAAAGAGTTGCAGGGAGTATAAATTAAGAAAAAAGAACTTAAAAATTATAATTAAAATCACATAATAGTGACAGATAAAATATAAAATCGTACAAAATAAAATTTTACAAAAGTTAATAACATATTTAAGAAAGATTTATTGTTATATAGACACACCAGTAAGGATAATTATCAGAACACAGATATTGTTAACACAATGCAAACTTAAAAATAAAACTATTAAACTAAGAAAAAAAATTATCAAACAAATTATTTTTTAAAAATAACAGATAAAACATATAAATACCTGAACATAAATTACAATCCGCGCGAAACGCGGTCTCAAACCTAGTATAACTAATTGATAAGTTATTTACCTTGATCATAATTTCCTAACATCAACTCAACAGGGTTAAGCATTCTATCCAAACATCGTTCATAAGACTGAAGTATAACCAACTTTTTCTCATATGAACGTTTTTCACAATTTATACAAAATTTTACAATTCACAAAACAACAAAAAAGATATGATATATTTTACCATGCCCATTTGTAATTTTCCAGAACCTATGCACACATATAGTATGCTTTTAGGCATCCCGCGCCCATATAATTCATAAATAATTTTAGTCAAGAAACCATTAGCTATGCAAGAAGTTCAAATATCATTGCTGTGAAGAAACAACAAAAAATTGACCAAACTAAAAAAAGAATACCTACTCAACTAAAAAAGTTAATCATCACATACCTCACATTCACAAGATGAAATAAATCATCTTCAAAAGTCTAACATCTAGTACGATATAGCTCACCGGCGATTACAACATATTGGTGGTATACTCCGCACCCACGGTTCATCTGCGAAATATTTTCTAGTTTTATCTAGAATAAGGAAATATTCTCGAAAGACAAATCCCGAGAAAAAAGGAAGTTGTTCTTATCTGCTCTAGGAGATAAGGAAATAAGGAATTCTCAAGTCAAGAAGGAAAAGAGACTCGACCGACTTAAAAAATCTATAAATAGAGAGAATCTCATTCATTCGAAGATCATTCACAATTTTGCAGAAGACATAGAAAACATCTTTCTCTTATTGTTTCTGTAATATGAACTACGAATAGCTTGATCCCTCTTTTGGGTACGTAGGTAGCTCATCTCGAGTTCAGCTAGAACTTCAATAAAATCTCTTAAACCCTTTGTGTGATACTCGGTATCAAAAATTGATGTGCCAGGTAGGAGAACCGAAGATTTAAAAAGAAAGGCTTAAATCGGACGTTGGCAGTATCTCCGACTTCTAATCTCATCAAAATCACGTCGTCCTCTTCAAGATGTTCTCCGATAAAATTTATTAAGACAAAATACAAGACATGGTGTTTAGCGTTACTTGATAAAGAAGAAACAAGGGAAGAAGGAGCCTTAGGGTTTTTCATAGCCCGTACAATATGGCAGACACTATGACAACAAAAAGAAGAGGACTTCACAAAAGTGAAAATCAACCTACATAATCGATGTTTCCATTCTCCAATCACAACCATGGGTC